TGAAGCTCGCGTTTATGGTAAGGGGCGTTACATTTCCGACGTGTGCTTGTGGTGTTCGGCCAATCACAATGCACTGGGTCAGCTGGCCAATCAGAGCAGACTGCGCTTGTCAAAGGAGGGGGCTTTGTTGAAAACGACGTGTTTGAGAGAGGCGGGGCATAGAGGACCTACAATAATGTACAGTATTTGAAAAATAATGTGTTTTTTGAACATTAAAGCATGTCATCATATTCTGTTACACCAAATACACCAAATAATGATCTTTAAATTAGCTAGTTTCTCATTTTCACTTGGTTTAACTTGATGTACTAAAATAACTAAAACTAAAACTGACATAAAAATTAATAAAATACATATTTAAAAAGAAAAACAAAATAGACAAAAATACACAACAAAATTATTCAAATTTTAAGAAAAACTAAAATGAAAACAGAAAATGTAAAAATACAAATATAAAATGTTAATTAAAAACTATAATAGTATGTTAATTATAAGTATTACAATTCAGCATTTTACGCCCGCAGTTTGTGGGACGATATCATAGATTGTTGAGAAAAATTGAGTTCCCTTTCAAGGGATCTAGCACTGCGTCCTCTAGCGGATGCTATGGGGAAAGCCTCCAGTGTGACCGGTGTCTGAAGCACATGTCTAAACACGACAATAGCATTGGCCGGTGACAGCCGATGATGTCACTACCTGTGTGACCATAGTATAAAAGGACACCAGAGGAACACGTCATTGTCTTCTTCATCTTCATACAAGACCATTGTTTATGGAAACACCCGGCAAGCATGCTGAGTGTGCATGTACCCCCATGTCAGGAGTTTTCTATTGATACCTGAGGATTTGCACGACTTGTGTGGTATGAGTGGGAGAGAAGCATGCGTGCTCAGTTCTCGAGGGAATAGAATGCGCTCATTGCGCTTATCTTAGGAATAGTAGTATGTGCATTTGACTCACGGGAAAGCAGGATGTGCTCATTGTGATGCATTCGCGGTACTACCAAGAGCAGAGGTAAAGCTTTGCTGTTTACTCGAGATTATAGACGGTGCTTGCATGAGCATGTTCGCCTCTCGAGGGGATTGAACAGGCTCAATTCAATGCTTTCGTGGAATCTAGTGTTTGAACAGAGTGTGTTTGGCTCTCGGGGGAGCTAAATACATGCTGTGAGATGTGATTGTGCTGAGAAATGCCTCATGTGTTTGATTTGAGGGATGAGAATTGAGCGCCTACTACCTGCCGTTCGAGTCTTGTGGCTGCCGAGGCAGCTAGGCAGACCGATCACATGGATTGTAGGTGGGGAATGGAAGGAATCTGACAGGAAGTGCTTTCCCTTTCAGGAATTCCTTGTTGTTTCTAATTCTTTATACAGAATAGAAACTGTGTAATGTGAGATATCTATTATGAGTTGTTGGGGCATATACTGTATTATTCATAACATGCCCTCCTCTGATATCCACATTATTGGTGAGCATGATTGCACTCCCTTTATATTATGAGGGTAGTTGTGCTGAGTGGTTGCTCCCTAGAGCTCTGTTCTGAATGTAGGAGCGTGTTTAGTACTCCTCGCTTTAGAAAGTCGTTATGCTGAGTACTCCACTCTCTAGAGCTCTGTGCTGCAAGTTGCTAGGCTCTCTGTGAGACTCCCTGAGCGGCACTTTAGGTTGAGCTTGTTGTGTTCCCCTCGCTTTTGAGGGTTGTTATGCTCTCTCTTGAGCCTCCCTGATAAGCTGCCCTTCAGGTTGAGCTTGGCAGTACTCCCTTCGTTTTATAGGGTCGTTATTCTGAGTACGCTGCTGTAGGGACTTAACCGTATTTTAAGTCGTTAATTCTTGATAAGG